TAAAAATATATTTATTCATTTGATATTTGATATTTTCGATATTCTTGAGCCGAGAATATTGATCTTAAAAAGGCAATATTGCCTTATATCGAAATTTATTAAATCAATATTATCTTGACATCGTCTTGATTTGAAGGCAAGACAAGATAAGAATCTTAAAGTCTCGAATATTGCGTGCATTAGTAATTGTAAATAGTTAAATAATTTATAAATAATATGTGAATTAAATATTGGACGTATATTTGTAATAATTAAATTAACTACTCTTTAAATGAATAATCTACGTAATTCACAAAAATGTTTTGATCTAATAAAAGCAGCTTTTGCAACGCAAATACTACCGCTATTATATATCTACATGTTTCGACTATAAATCATCCTCTACGCGAGCCTGCAAGAATTGAACTTACACAAGCTCACAAGCATATTTTACGATGATATATGTACCTTTACAAACATAAGCAAAATATTGTATTATATAACTATTTATCACAACTACAAAATATCAGTGCAGATTCTTTATTCTTTCTGATACAATTTAATTTCAGAATTGCGTAACTTTATCATTAATTTTTTAATATTACATTTGAACATTTTAAATAGATAGATTTGTTCTGGTAGGTATTTTACTGCTGTTTATTTAGAAAATTAGTTTTACGATGAACTAATTCAACGTTAAGAAGTTGGTCTAAAGTAATTTCGAGTGGAGATGATCTTGCGCGTCGTTCTAATATCATATACTGAAATTACGCAGTAATGTTCTAGCATATCCATTAACTTGAGAATCGCAATAACAAAACCAAATAGATTCATTACTGATAAAATCAAATGTGTACCACAATTTCAATTGACTAATACACTTATATAAATGGATGAAGTAAATAATAATCTATACAAAGATTACAATCCATATAATAAATTAAGTGTATAATGAATAAATTGTATCGTTAGTTGATTTCGTATATTTGGATTTCTTTATAATTATCCTTCAAGAATGTTAAAAGTATTGATAAATAATAAAAATCTTGAGAGCACGAGCGTGGCATGACAGACAGCGCACTGATCTATCATGCCAGAGATCTCGGATTCGATCCCGGATAGGAACCAAAATATTTACGCTCGTGTCTCCTCTCGGAAAAGGCTGGCTATATTTTCCGAGAGTATCCTTGCCCACAGAAACACCTCTCGAAAAATCCGTCGTTCAGAACTGGCATTAAAACTATATGTCCCATATGCTTTTGTGGCAATTGAATAATCAGCGTGCACACCACACGCATATGAAAGAGGTACACAGGCCAGAGGCCTAACGTAAAAAGACGAAAAAGAATAAAAATCTTGGACACCATACATGTGAAAACACAACCAATAAAAAATAATGGTCTATAACGGATGAAATTCGATGTTTGAGCATGTATATATGGAATTATATACAAGTTCAAAGTTTAACTTTCAATCGTTATGGACCTTTATTTTTTATTGGTTGTGAAAATATTAATATTTGTCCAGCTTTAAACTATTAAAAACAGTTAAATTTCGAATTTGGTAATAAAAGATTCTTGATTATTTTCGTATAATTGAAATGAAAATATTTTTCAATGAATTTTTAAAAAATATAAAAAGTAATAATATTTGTTTAGAAGATAAATTAATTTTAAATTCGATTTCCTGCCTAACTTTGAAAACGTTAGTTCTTTCCACAAATTAAGAATATATATAACTATTAATAATATAAAACTAAATATACAACTATTTATATAACTGGATCATGAATTATATGTGAATTGAAAAGATAAGATCTAAATGATATTAGAAATCAAGATAAATAAGACTAAACTATAATCTTGATCTAATCTAAAGTAAAGATAAACTCGATGTAAAGGTAAACTCGAGATAAATTAATTTTAGCGTATCCGGAGGCACGCAATGTAGGAAATTACAACATATTCTCGAAAATTATCCACGCGCTTATTATTTCAAGACCCCTTAAACCTCTAATGATGAGCTTTCAAGATTAATTAAAATTATTTGCTTAATTTATTTTCTCAAACAAGATTCGTGTTTCAACATTCCCTATTTCATTTTCACTGATAATAAAATAAGAGTGTAACAAAAACTGTTTACTATTATTCTCGCATATTGGAACTAATTTCTGCTTTACGTTTTGTTGTATACACATCTGCGCATAAAACTTGCACGTAGTTTATCCATCAGAGAATTGCAAGGTTGATGTACCTATCTTTTTATTATAGGTAGCGCCTCCATTTTTAAAACTTTAGATAGATTCATGAGACCAGATGCATAGTAAAAAATTGCACTAGGTATATGTATCAGCGCATATATATTACTTTCCGTAAGTTTACTCGCTGAAATAACGCGTTTAAATCACTTCAAAAGAGTCATGTTGCTTTCATACGTCAGAGTCTTTCCATAAATAACAGCTTTCATTTAACTATCCGGCATTATTTAAAATGTTATTCTAAGACATCCATTCTTAGATAATTAGATAGTTAAATTTCCTTTGTCTATTGCACAAGATCTTTTATAACGTTTAATAACATGTACCATAACTCATTAAACATTCCTCAAACGATGAGTTTCATTAAAGATCAGATAAACCTTGGGAATGACATACGCAATTACTCAGCAAACATGCGGAGCGATCGATTACTACGCAATATTATTTCTTGCTCCATGTTATTGTGTCTTGCGTTATCACTAAAGTTTTTTTTAGTTAGCGATGTCCAATATATCGCAATACGATCAACTCTGTAAAATAGGAATTTGCAATGCGACACAAATTAGTGATGTAATTACACTTCGCATCGATTGGGCACGAATAAAAATTATCAACGCCTCCACATATTGTTCCAAAAAAAGGTCTCCTTGACCTTTCTCAACGAACGAGTTTTAACAAACGATTTTCAATATATTTTGTAAAATCGGAGGACTATGTATTTATCAAAAAAAGTGCGATATTAGCAAACGACTTAATGGTGCCGAAATAGTGCGGATATAAAGATCTATACGGTAAAAATAAATACAAACTGATATACGTTGAAAAAAAATTTTTTTTTTCTAGATAAATCGATATACTAGAGAATTATTCTATATTTTTCTCTGGACAAAAATTCTAGACTTTCTTTATCAGAAAAATTGGTATATTATTTTATATATTATCCCTCCTTATTTCACAAATACAGGTTTGCAATTTTTGATTCTACTTGAAATCGAACGTTACATTTTTTTAAGTTTTTTGTGCTTGATTAATTAACGATTATAAGGAAATAATTAATATTCAGTAAAAGAAAATTGGTGTATATGTTTAAATGAAGAAGTAAATATACAAATATATAAATTATTCTAATTATAAAAATTGTATTAATGTATTTTTCATAGCACTTTTTAACTGTAATGAGTATATTCTGGTCACGAAGTCGTAGTGCTTAGCGGCACAGTTTACTTTTTCATATTGATTTAACCATTTAGTACATCCGCTAATCTTTCAAAATAAGTATCGGTCAATATGCATATTTAGCATTAAAAAAATTTTTTTAATATTTAGAAGAAAGGCTCCTATTATGAAATACTGAGTTTATTTTGGGTAAATGCTAGAAGTTTATGGGCAGAATTTACAAAAATAATAGGTCATTTTGAAGGGAATTTAATAAGCTTTAAGATAATGTTATATAAAATTTAATTTAAATTCCATTTTTTTTTTAATTAAAAAAATGTAAAAAGTGAGCAAATCGCAAAGTAAAAAAATTGTGCCCCTAATATAAGATGTTCCGAGAAATCGATATTAAAACGCAAAGTATATTAGTATTGTAACTAAATACTTTATTTAATATATATTTCTTAAATACAAACAAACACAGCCAGGGTGCGCGAAAAATGAGTATGCGATACATTATACCCAGAAGTCGTCAGATAATTGAAATCAAGCATCGCAGAAATAGGCACTCGACGTTCATTCCGGTTGTTCTTTTTATTATTGTATAATAATATTTATACTTTAGCAACGATTTTCACTATGATATGGGAGCATGGGTTATTAGATCATGCCTGTAGTCATTGTAAAAAAAGATTTTAGAATTTGGATGTCTTTAAGTTTCATATTAGAAATATCTCATGTTACACCCATATTACGATTTCCATACCTTACGATTTTACGATCATCAAATCTAACTTCTGTAATTAAGTAATTCAACATATCCCGTATTTTTTTATTAGTACGACCTTACTCTATCATTACATGAAGAATTTATTACCAAATATTTTTTTATTACATAATAAACAAGGTTTAAAGGCTCATCTCAATGAAACTTGAAGACATCCAAATTCTAAAATCTTTTTTTACAATGACTACAGGCATGATCTAATAATGAATTTTCTACTAAATCGTTTTCAATCCAACAGCAATAAATTCATGGTGGAATCAATAGATAGCATCTATTAGGTTAGCAGAAACGCCGCTATCTCATATTAGGTGCCTATCTCATAATAGGGGACTTTTCTCTATATAATTTAATTTTAAAAAGATATTACGAGTTTATTATTTAAAAGTAACAAGTTTTTTACAAAATACACAAAGCAGAAAATGTTTAAAGATAATCTTAAGAGTAACAAAAAAATTAAAGAAAGAAATTTAAAGAGAAATTAATATTAAGAAATGGTGTGTAATTGTAATATTTCCAATATATTATTGAAATTGCAAAAATGCAAAAATGCAAAAGTTCTCAAGTCAGGATGGCTGCACTTTTGTTCATTGATGCTTAGAGTCAAATAGGCAATGAAGAATAGAAATAAATTGCTGCGATTTCAAAGCGATTTTAAGCTATATTTCCAAATCGGCAAGTCCGAATATATGTGCCAACTAGAGCGATTATAATAGTGATTCAACCCTCCACATGGCTGCGCTACCGTCGATCTAATAACGAGGGTGCCTCGCAGGCGAAAGGGGGATGATTTGACCAGTAGCATGCCGCCTCTCGTAGCGTGAATATCGGGCGAGTTCTCGTTGCGAAGGAATCGTGGAAAAACGCGACATTCATTGTTCACCTGACTTTTCAATTTCATTGTACCAGTGATTGAAGATCAAGAAAAGTGGCATTCTGTCTCGACGACATTTCAGGAAAACGTAAGCGCACATTTAGCAAAAAATTTCTTCATACATTTGAAATTAAAAGGGATGCATAACAGAATTAGATAAACTTCATTTTAATTAGTGGATGTACGAGTGTATAGTGTATAATAAAAGTGAATGAAAGTGCGTATATAAATTTAATGTATGATAAAAGTTTCGCGGTAAAATCATTAGGACTAATGAAACAGTCTCGCTAATTGTTGCAAACTCTAAATGATAAAAGCTGAATGAAATCAAGTTCCACCATTAGTATTTCATTCTCATTTATGATACAAAAGTAATCTCATATCAAACTACTACATTAATTACAGAAATCAGAACGTTAAAATACATTTTACGTAAAAGTTTGTAGAGTACATTTTATGAGTGTTCTAAAAAAACCGTAATAAAGAAAATTGTATGTTCATAATACTTAGCGAAATAATTTTGCAAATATATAATAGTAACTTAATTAAATTGACCTGGAAGAAAAAGGTCATAAAGACTGTTGACACGATCTGCGCCGTGTACGACCCTACCTACTCATTCAGCATCCATTTCTCATACAGTTTCGCATGGGAGGCATTCGCGTTCAAGACGAACTAATTAATCATTAGAAACATATACCTTTACAGCCTTGTTCATGGTAATTTAACGGATTCTTTAGCAAATTACACTTCACGCGATTCCACAAATTAGTTAGAATTTATTTTCCGTGTTTCAGACTCGTGCTCGTATTTATTGAATCTCTACACATTATTAGAAATTGCAAAAAAAAATTTAGAAATAAGAGATTTACTTAATGTCTTAAATAATTTCTTTCTATAATATGTATAGGTTAAATATTCCTATAAAATTATTTGGTTCTTTTTTTATTTGTCCCTTTAATGAAAACATTGATATGTTAATGTTTTATAAAAACGTTTTTCAAGAATTAAATTAATCAATTTTATTTTAATGAAATTATCATTTGAAATTGTCATATTGTTAATGAGAAAAATTAGCAGATTGTTAAAAAATAAGGAATTAAATTTCCATTGGGAAAAAATTGATAATTTTGAAATAATCAAAGAATCCTGTAAATCTTTCAATGTATCTTCACTGTAACGTTATTTTATTATTCGGTATTGTCTCTACATGCATCAGCTTCGTTAGATTAAAAAGTATAGCTTTCCCATTGCTGTATAACAGAATGATGAGAGAGAAGAGAGAGAAAGAGAAGTTACAAACTTTAAAATTAAAATCCCTTACGAGATTTATTAAAGCCACTCGTTAGTCTTGAATGCGAGGTAGCAGCTATTGTTATAATGTTAACAGAAGCATATTCATAAAGTCAGAACATCGAGAAAGTTTTTACAAAAGCATAAACTATAATTTCATAGGATTAGTCTCAGCATAGTAATACTATTATAGTATTGAAAATGTACGCAAGAAAAAGTTAAAATTTAGAATATTGTAAATAACATAGAGGAAGGTCACCGAATCCGACATACCACTTTGTTTTTAGACAATATTTCTTAAACAAAAGGTAAAAATACAACTTCAAAAACATAAATACAAAGTAAAAAGTGTCTTTCATCAGATAGTATAATGTTTGCAATTTTGCAATAATTAAGTTTTTCGTAAGTTATGCAAAAATGAGCGTCTGACAAAATGGGCTCCAAAACTGACATAGTAGGCAATAATATCAACATTCCTATTCTATAAATAAAGATATATCCTATTCTGTAAAGAAAATTAATTTATGAAATTATAAACATTTAAAATGACATAATATTATCAATAATACAGTCACTATTATTTTAATTACGTAATTTGCAAAAGAACACCGTAAGAATTTTCTTCTCGGATTCATAGAATTGGTTTTTAGCTGATTTGGTATAGAAATAAGCCACAAATATATGAATTATGAGTTTGTACTTCTTTAATTAGCTAAACAGATCATGATTTTATTAGTATTAATAAAATGCAATAGTTTCTGAGAAATAAGGGGGTGTCACTTTAGGAGACCTATGTCAGTATCGGCAACTTTCCTCTATGTATTCTGTTTTAAAAATGTAAAACCGATAGTGCCTTATAAAAGTACAAGAAACAAAAGGGCGTATATGATATTTACATAAAACCAAAGAACGTGTATGATATTTATATATCTTATTCTGACTTATCAATTTTAATAAGTTCTTGCTTTTCGAATAGTTAGAAAATTACGTAATATGAGACAATAACAATTACGCCATTTCCGCGATGTCACTGTTTCTACTCTCCAAATAATTCGCTACCTGGAATGGTATTGTATATTTTATGTATTAACAGCGAATTTATTGATTAATTGTAGTAATAACGTTATCTCTCGGAAAGAAAAATATTACAAATATTTTTAATAAATGATTAAAAATTGGATACCGAGACACTGGATTCCGTCTTATAATAATAATCAGGATAAAGAATAAGGATAGCGTAATAACAAAAAAAATCAAGTAGCAAGAAAAAGTAAGTAGCAAAAATCAATAAATAAATTTTGTATATTATCGATCCAACATTACTACATTTAACATTACTACATTTAATATTTCTTAAAAGTTAAACTTGAAAGAATATATAAAATTGAAATAGGAATAGTGTACAAATATCAAGAACTTCATAAAAAACCTATGTAATTAAGCTCGTTTTTAAATAAAAATGCCTCGCGTTTCAGCCAGTTCCATGACTTTTCAGATCGGGTGACAAGCTTAATGTAATAAGAACTGGAATCCTTAATTAACGAAACTTACCTAGAGAACTAGCCAGGTGATATTTCTCGTGAAATTCAGAGTTGGGTGCATACGCGTGACACTAACAAGCGCGCGGATAATACCTAGTAGCAGTAACGCTAAAATAATTTAAGGGCTGCGCGAATGTATATAGTTCATTCATGCATCCAGCTCACGTGTACAACGATACACGGATGATTTGCCATGAGGCTGATCGACGTTCATGTTTCGCCCAACACACGTCGTTTTACATCGATATGTTGTATTCGACGAAAACACACAATGACAATTGAAACCGACAGCGACGTAAACAAGAAGCGAGTTAACAATTTCATTACGCACCCTGCTATGTCCTCATTAACAAATCGACTGAACTAAAATGTTCAAGATGATTAAAAGGTCATCGCTGCAAATCATTTCATCAGTATCATTTTTGGGGTGCCTAGAATTCAGAAAAATTCTCTTATCACAAAAATAAAACGTATATATTTACATTGTACATTGACAATATGTAGAATAAATTTTAATATTTTTCTATGATAGACATTGTTTGATATTTCTGCAAGTTTCAAAAAACGGACAAACGGGAGAAATTCTCTACTGCACAGTAAATATTTTGAAAGAGTACTTCCCTTTTCTCTACACTTTGTTTTTCAGCAAACATATTCGTGTAAATAATATATTAGAAATTTTTTCAATTACTAATGTTTGGTTTAAGTTTTGAAATATTGTTTAAAGAAATGATCTTTATATATTGTTCAGAGAAAGTGTTTCATAACGTACATATATTTCACTCATTTACCTTGGCGTAGCATCGGCCGTGTTCAACAGAGAATTGCGCAACCGCTAAATAGTAATCGCAAATGGTAGATACATACCTTCAGATCTTGTAAATTAGGTTATCAAATACCACAAGCTGTATTCAACAATTTTCTCTGTTTAATGTTTTAATTAATAGCTAATGATTTCTTGCAATGAATGAAAATTTAATTACTGTTGTATGCTATTTCTAAATAAATAAAATCAAGAATTCTAAATCTAAAATTTTAATATATTTATTAAATATATTTATTAAATAGATTCATATATTATATAAAGTATATTAAAATATATTAAATAGATTTATTTAATGTTTAGATATCAAAAGACAATATTTCAAATTCAAGTTTTCAAGCATTTAAACTATAGCGCTATGGCATATTTATCAAGCTCTTTGTAGATTAAATATTAATTAATAAAAGTATTTTTAAATAATTTTCGAAAATAAAAAAGTCTCAAAGTTGTGTCTAATAAATTTTTAATAGTCAAATTTAAGTAACTTTCGTTAGTGTTTCAAAGTGTTTTAATTTAATGTTGACGATCTCTCTCAAGTATCATTAGAAAAGCATGTTACATTATGTATAGTGTAAAAGGAAGAATATAGCGCACCCTAGTTCCCGACTTTCTTTGGTAAAGCCTTAGAAGATGTTGAGATATAGCTATGTTCAGGATCACGTACGATCTAAGAGAAATTCCGAACCCAGTTTTAAATTTCATTTCGATTACTGCCTTTCTACAACTTAATTATTTCTTTAACAAAATTGATAACTCCCTTACTGTCTTTCAGCTAATAAACAATTAAAGTTCAATCGAAGGAAAACATAATTCGCTTATAAATTCCGTGTAATTTCCGTGTATACTTTATGGAAGGTAGTAACTGGAGGCTGCGCGCTGGAAATTCTAGATGCTGTGATATATGTTTGTGCCGATGTTCAGATGCTTAGTAGGTCCGCAGAAAGTTTCGTTCGACAGTAAGCTTGAATTATCGAGAAAGCGTGAACAAGTTCCTAAGTCTCGCTCAGTAAACTATGCTGCCACCATAAGACAGACGACTTAAGTGTCAGGTAATTACACTTGCGGAAGCTTGAAAGCGATTATTTAGCCAGATCGTCTTTTAGTATTAGCAAAGTAATAGCGAGATGACTAAGTGATTTAAACATTTTTTACAATTAATCGAATTACTTTCTGCTTTTAATAGACAAACATTTTTTATTCCCTTCTTATTAAGACCTTTAAGACCCCTAGTCTGTAACTCTTAACAATGATAACGATATGTTAAATTAAACCCTAATCTACGTTCACGTAAAATTTTTGTTTCTCTATCTTCATTTCTTTGTATCATGATGTATTTTGCGTGACGCATTTATGTGATCGTGGTTAGCATTCACTGCGATAACTATAGTGTTTCAAAATCGTATCACATGCAACACATTTTTTAATCCTTGA